AACAGCATTTAATGAAACATCCAACCTCCGTATTTTTAAGAAAGATATGACTGATTTTATCAAAATGATCGCTAAATCAAACAAAAACAATATTTATTCGGAATAGACAAACTTGCCCATTTATCTCAAATATTGTAATTACTATTAATAATCGAAATTGCTTATTCTTTGCTCATTTTGTAGATATATATACATTTTTATGACATAACTTGTGCCTCGTATATGTAAGAGAATGATAATCCCTTTCTTCATGATTAAGTACGAGCGATAGCGAGTACTTATCATGAAGTAAGGGATTATCATTCTCTTACAAACTTAGAATATTGTAAAGTGCTCAAGGCTTAAATGATCTCTTGATTGGTTGTATTTAAGAATTAGTTGCATTGTCAGTGCAATGTTTGTAATTAATGCATGACTTCCTTTTTAGGCATGATTTCATTTATGGATTAGCTTTAGTGATGTAAGGACCTTCTTATAATTTTGGAAAATATAATAGATTATGTTTTATACATTAGATGACACACCAGTACAATGAAGTGGTAAGAAATGTTTCCTGATTGTGAGTATGAATGTAAATCATGTAATATTTTAGCGAGGAATTTTCTTTTTGTTTATTTCCATTTCAAATCAATAAATTCAAAATTTGAGTTACAAATAAATTTTATTTTACAGCCAATTTTTTAGTCCAGTCCTTTAAGCAAATACTACTTCATTATGTCATGGAAATGTTCAAATACAATGCCTTTAAAATAGTTTAAAATATATTCAAAAGTTAAACTAAATTCCTTTTTTTTAGATTTTTATCAGAATATTGGAAATTACTATTCTCACCAACCGCGGATCCAGTAATCTGAGTTTTTGAAAGAGTAGGCGCTAAAGATTTAGGTTTTATTTAATTTTAATACTTGTTTTTGCTTTTTTTTTGCATTGCATTGCTTTGATCTTGGTTATTTTTTTTTTAGTAATTTGAAGTTATTAATATTCTCATAATAACGTTAACGGTACCAATGTTACTGCACCTGTAAACTCATCTACTTTTGATTTTTTTGTTTGTTTCAAAATTCAACTTTTAGTCAGTTTTAATCCCAAATTCTTTCAAGCTGATAACTGTGCTTCGGGGCATTTGTAACTCATTTATAGAAACTCTTTGTTTTGAAATGTAAGTAGGCCTAAACAATAGGATAATCCCTTACTAAGAACATGATTTCATTCATTCTTCACAATTTAGAAACACCAAATTCTACAATTTCATTGGTCGAGAGCACTTTGCTATATTCTAAGGTATTATAGTTATAGTTATCATTTGAATACAAAAGGCACACTTTGAACTAGAGTTTTGTTTACACCTACATTTACCAACAATCGCCATTATTTATATAAAATAGTTTTATAGTTTATATTTTATACATATTATCTATATTACATACTACATAATTGTATTACTTTTTTGTAATAGTATTTTACTCACCACAGATGGTGTTTCTTTATAAGTGCACATACATTTATTTCACATATAATTCTTCATCGAAGATTCTAGTGTTTGAACCACGTGTCCTATCGATGCATGTCAATATCCAACAGGCATTTAACCGGGAACACAATCTGAATAACAAAAGATTTCATAATTGGTTATCTTTTATTTACGCGATTTGAACTTTAAACAGTGCAAATGGTTATAAAAAAAACAGTTATATTATATCTTTATATTTGTATTTAAAGGGATAAATTTATTTAAAAGTAAAAAAAAAAAACCAGTAACTTATTGAAAACAGATGCTGGTTTTTATATTGAATATATTATGTAGAGATTTTTTTTCATCCATTTGTTTTTTACTTGGCAAATGGGATATGAAAAATAAAAACAGGGATCCCTCTGTCAACTGCACTGGACTGCTTACGGTTTGTGTGTCCAGGTGATAAAAAAAAAAAGATATTATTCACAAAAAAAAAAGAAAAAAAAAAAAAACAGTACATATACATAAAATTGAGAATGGAAATGGGGAATGTGTCAAAGAGACAACAACCCGACCACAGAACAGACAACAGCAGACATGTCTATTCTAGTGCAAAATTATATTAATATTTTATCGTTATAGTATGAAGATTATACTTCTAAGTAAAACAAATAATTATTTGCACACTGTACAATATAAATCACACTTGTTATACACCATACGACAAAATGTTTCTTTTGATGAACACATTAAAGACTTTTATTCGCATAGTATCGAAATACAATAAGCATTTTAATAAAATAATGGTTTCTTTAAAAATAAAATTAGCTATTAGTCTTTGATATCTAAAAAATGAAGGAATAGACAACCTGGGACCAAGAGAATGTATTATTCATGTAAGTCCCAGGTGTGACAAATTGTCGTTAAATAGATGAATAAATAAACTGTAAACTGTTTTTTAACTATTTTCTTGAAATGTATTATAGATTTGAAAAAAATGTTAGCGGAAATAGATCAGCCATATACGATCAACAAATAAGTTAAGATAACTTAGTTGGAAATCAACTCCTTAACATTTATTATTCTTAAATAATGAGTTTTCTCCCTTTCTGCGTTGGGTTTTATTTTAAGAACTATAATAGATAGAGATATACTTACAGATCAACGAGAAAAGAGTGAAAATACATTGACATAACTGAAATTGTCATTATTTTTTTTGCCGTTCTTGAAAATTTTAATAGGTAAAGAGCGGCAATATACAACTTACATGATCTTAAAGATCTATTATAGTTTTTTAGATATTGGGCAATAACGCAAACAATTTGTAAAAATCGTCATTAAAGGGCAATAACTCTAATAAGGAGTCATCTGACGATTGTTACCTTGTTTAACTTATTTGTAGATCTTGTAAAAGGCAAAATGTTTATAAAATGGTAAAATTTTTCATTTAAGGGCAATAACTCTTATAAGAAGTCGTTTGACAGTTTTGACTTGAATAAACATTAGGTAGTGCTCAACATTCTGAACATTTTTGCTCCGTCAGATTTTCTCTATTTACAGCGCTGTTCGAAATATTAGGCAAAATTTGCATTTTACCCCTATGTTCTATTGTTAGCAATGTCGGCCATCTTGGTTGACAGGCGGGGTCATCGGACACATTAAACTAGAAACACTAATAATGATTGTGGCCAAGTTTGGTTAAATTTGGCCCAGTAGTTTCAGAAATTTTTTTAAAAGTTAACGACGGGTGACGACGACGACGACGGACTCCAAGTGATGGGAAAAGCTAATTTGGTCCTGCCTGTGGTATGTATTGTTTTCAAGAAGGATTTTTTCATATTATCCACAGATAACAAAAGTAGCAATTAAGCAGATTCAGAAATAGGTGTATACACAACAGAAAAATGAAATAAGTAATCCTGGCTTATAACGGTTGAAAATGATTATTCTGTCCACGCAAAACCTCTTGCTCAAAAGCCCAACCCTAACTAAAGAAATAATTGGTCGTTCTTTAAGCAATTTTGTTCGTTTCGCCTTGTTTTTGTAGATTCAAGGGACCTGTCTTAAATATAACATTTGGTCTCTTGTGGAGAGTTGTCACATTGGCATATCATACCACATCTTATTTTTGGATTTGGATTTGTAATCAAACTCTTATTTTTTCAACCTTGAAATTGAATTTTCCATATAATTAACTATTCTGGATGATGCATGTGTACAATCAAGTTAGTTTAATTCAACAATTCGGTACATACAATGTGTGTTCTTCAATGGGACTACCAATTTAAAGAAAACTGTATGTTCGATATCAAATTTTTTTCTGATTTTTGTCTCCAACGAAACCATAAAATATATTGTTACTAGGCACTTTTCCAATATAAATAATGGTTGCATGTCAATTTTCCAATATTAATAAATAAATGCTAGACACTTTTACACTATAAATGAATGGTTGCTAAGGACTAGTGTGATAAAATTCACCCCTGACCTTTTAGGTAGGGCCTATGTAATAATCTATAGTCCTGAATCAAAAGATATATGATTACTAGGTTCTTTTGTATCAAACAAGGTTGGTTGCTGAGCACTTTTGACAAGACCTTGACTTCTTACTCATGACCTGTTAAACAAAACAGTGGCTTTAATAATCCTGAACATTTTCCTCACGTATTGTTTGGTTCATTCTATAATCTTTTCTTACAAACTCCAATTAATATATGCAAGGTCAAATCTATGACCTTTGACCTTGTGTTAAATTGAAGGTCATTTAATGCTCAATAGTTTTCACATCATAGTCATTCAATAGTAGTTACTGTTTTTGGGGTAATCTTAATAACATTTTCTAAATAAAAAAAAAAAATGACACATTTTGGTTTCCATAGCAACCATCCTAGCACCCTGAATCCCAAATATTTTGTTGTAAATAATTGACTCGAATCATTGATACTTTATATTTATAACCACAACCTAAATGGAGGTGGATGCAAAACTATATTTTGTTCATGCTAAATGTGTGTAATTTGCCTTCACAAATACAATGAAAAATGACCTCTGCTCCTGCAGTTGTGACAATATTCAGCCAAATATTTTTTATAAATGACATTGCTGTTATGTTTGTTAAGTATCATGTCTCTGAAAAATATTAACAAATATCATAAAATAAAATCTGGTTTTGCTTCAGAATGCCATTGTTTTTTTTCAATGCTAAATCCCCCAAAACGTACGGGAAAACTCATTAACTTGGTTGCCATTTCAACCGTGGCCTATCAACACTTTAGGAGGCACATTTTTAACTTTTTCACCTTATTATATGGTCAGGCTAAGTTTCAGGAAAATCAGTGACTATGCATGCTGACACCACTATATGAAATGGTTGGTGTCTACAGAGAATTGCTCTTAAAAACAAACTATTTGTACTTATTGCTGCAAGATGTTCCCTAAAAAGTCTGTTACTCTTTCTACCTATAAGCATTAATCATAAATAGTCTTTTTTTAAATATTTGTCAATTGTTCAACATATGGCAATAAAAAACACATTTTTAAGGCAATGTTATAAAAATATAATTTATTACACCTATAAAAAGAAACACATGTACTGATAGAGATTAATGATACATAAAGCATTAACCAAATTACCAAATGTTAAGATAACTAATATTCCATATCGAAAAAGAAAAAACAAGCACTCAGTAAATGTACAAATGTATCTTAAATGAAAAATGAGACTACAGCATGCATATGTTAACATTTATAAATTTGATACATGTAATCAAATCAAATGAAAATTTCTATAGAATGTACTTCATTTTCTCATTATTCTTAGACACATAAGCCCTAACAACTAATCTGTGAGGGGAAACAACTCCATTTTATTTTTTGAAATTTGTAGTTTTGAGATTATAATTTTTAGCGCAAAAGATAAACATTTGTGTCTACCACCAGTTATTTCCAAAATCTCATGTAGAGTATAGGTTGCACTTGTAAATACAGCTGTTTCACAAACCACGCCTCTTTTGGGGAGATAGATAATATTCATAGAAATTTGCTTTTTTAAGTTCTGGTTCCCAGATATGATCTCTATGTATCATCTCATAGAGACATAACTTGGGTATGTTAGTTACCAGTATAAATACACATGGATAGCGGCCATGAATTATGTGGAAGACCCAAAGTGAAGGGGTAGTACAGAATTTTAGTATAAGTTTAAACTCTTAGAAGTACAGGGTATATAAATGTTGAAAATATGATGCACAGCCCTATGTTTTGACCTTTGTAAAAAAAAAGTAGTGCATATCAATTTTCCATTCTATGATATAATTTTTTACGAAACTTCATAGTAAAAGTGGCATAGTTTTAGCCGTAAAATGAGATCCTATGAGAAATTGCATTTCTCTATATTTACAGACGTGCAACTTAAAGGGTAATTTATCAATACTTATGAATATGAATAAGGAGATGTGGGAGTGAAAAGTCAATGAAAAGTAATCTATCAATACAAGTTAACCAAAATAGACATTTAGAGGTTACCACATAAATCCGACAATAGAGAAGTACAAATGTACAATCACTGTATTGCAAGATGTTACCCTCCCCCTGAAGAATAAAAATAGCTTTCTAAAGAGAGGACTATTAATGGTGTGGATATTCTATCAAATTTGAGGTAAAAAAACAATTTTAAAGTATTATCTAATATAACACAATCAACAAGTCTGTCCATACTTATAAAAAAAAACATTTACACCACATAGAGTCAACATTCAACCACTAATCTATAATTGTTGGATTTCACAATACACTTGAAACAATTTTGTACATTGAAAGTAGCCTTTCTTTGAAAAACACAGATTTCAGATATACTTTTTCTTTACAAAACACTGAAGTATTGATTTCATTTTAAAGAAAGTATTCCCATTTTCTGTGGTTATCCATCAGAATATACATTACCGCATTCAGACTTGTATAGTCCGCATTTTTTTCTCCTAAATTAATATTGCCAGGCAAGGGTGCAGATTTTAGAGTACGATGAGCAAGAAATAAGAGAAAAACATGATTTAATGAGGTTTGTTTACATTCCGTCACGTTTTTTATTGAAAATGTAGAGGGCGCCCTTATAATTTTCAAAACTAATAATTTACCTTATCCATATTAATATGCAATTTTAATTCAAAATCCAATATTGATTGATAAATATCAAAATTTAATGCTTCATTACAAATTACTTGTTTCTTTTCATAGCATTGCATGACATAAACTGGAATCCACTTGTATTTACCAGAGTGAAAAAAGTATATAAATCAGCCAGGAACCAGCTTATGTATTACAATGTATAAACTACAAAACATAATCGGTTATTCGTTCCGTGTTAGTGTTTCATATTGATGCATGCTTTTTGTTTTAGCTGAAGATCATTCAAACATTAATGTAATGGATATATTTAATAGTATTTAACTAAAGAACGGACATGTTTTAGTTTCAAAGTCGTATTCTAGTAATAACTATATGAAGTACGGATTTTCCACACACTCTCACCGTAATTATTTTCAATTTACACGTCCTATACGAACTTCCGAATAACATGAAATACAAATTTCCAAATTCTTTATTCATGATTTTGACTTATTTTAACACTCATGGAGTGTTCTAGAATCATTTACAAGCATTTTCAACTTCTACTTTATGATGGAAAACTGACTTTTCCATGAAAATACCGCAAACGATCACACAAGATTTGAAATTATGGGAGTTTCATTAGACATTTTCAAGCAGTTACAAAAGTTTTTTCCTGACATCTCATGTTGAAAAGGGGGGTGCTGACAAGGTACCAGTGCAGACTTTACAAGCCTGAATATAGTACACTTCAAAATCAGCCATCTACTAAAAATACTAATTTATAATATAAATGTAATATTTTCCCATTCATTATATCAAAATAAGATTACATAAGAAAATATGCACAATTCTCATGTCTTCCTGCATTATATGTATATACATAAATATAAATATGTTACAAAATTGTATCACAATTGATTTTTCACATAAATGAGGTTCTTTCAAAGAAACTCTTAATTCCTAGTATTACATACTAAATTGAATTATGTTCATATCTATTGAAATTTGTAATTCTACCCTAAAAGAAACATACTTTCATATTTATTCATCAATTGCATCATGCTTGTAGCAGCATCAAATCCATGGACATAAAAGTCTTACTAACAGACTAAAGAAAAATAGTCAAATCTGTCTACATTTCTTTTTACATGAATGACAGAAAAATATGTACTCTGAAATTATCAATGAAAAAATATATTTGTATAAACCATAATCTTATTCTTGTTTATAACCTAAATTCTTTTTATTGAATGTTCAGTTAGCAAACATATCACTGAAAACTTCATTTTTTTAATTCTGTATATGTGAACATGAAATCTCAAACCAATAATGTCATTTTTCAATGTAATGTCAGCACAGTCAAACTCTTAATATATCTTCCTCAAACACTTTATAATACAAACAGTAAAATTACTTAACTTTGATATTTTGTATCTTTAAAGGACTCAAGCAACCTCAAAGCATACCTTCTAATAAGTTTTACTTTCAATCATGGGCAGTGCATGGTAGCAAAAATATGATATGCTAAAAACAAGTGCTTCCTGCTGATGATTAAAATTGAAATATCTATTATAAAAAAAAACAACATTTGAAATTTATAATTTGATAACAAAACTTTTACAGGAAAGGGTGCAACAGATGCTTTTTCCAAGTTTTCTTTTTTTGTTGAGATAATACTAAACTAAATATTTTTTTAAGTTTAGAATCAAGACTTAAAAATATATAGCATATGCAGCAATCAAATAAATGAGTTATCACAGTATTTGTCTTGATCAACAATAATTCCTTGCAAATATTTACTTTGAGCTTGCATGCCCTTGGTATTTCTATCTCACAAAAATATGTGAACAAACTATCATGTTACCAAAAAAAAAAATAATGCCATCTTTCTACCTTAAAATATTGGTTAATATTCATAGTATTTCAAGGAACTTACATTTGAGACTTTGCACATACACAGGTACTTTATTATGAAAGTTAAACTTGTATGTCGGATAAGACTCTTAAGGCACTTCAACCTTTGATCTGATGTTCAACCTTCCATTTGTCAACAAATAAAAAGAATAATTATAAGACTTATAATTAACAAACAAGAATCACATCTTTGATGTCCTTGTCAAAACTATGATGTCCTAGTTTAAAGTCATGGCAAGGGCAATATGACAATAAATGGATCCTGTATGCTTCAAACAAAAAATAATAACTTAATGATAAATTACCTTAATGTGAAATGATTAAATTTTACGAGAAACAAACACAATCTTTAAAAAAAAGATGCTCTTTAAATGTATAAAGCATAGCATATTTCATTACACCATTATAACTGTAATTTACTTCTGCATAAATATACAATCAAAGACATCAGACTTCATCATTTCATTTTACATTTCTTGAAAATATAAATTACATTTTACACGAAATCTCATTCAACTTTTACTCAATTTTGATGTGACTGGTCAATTGTATTTGAATTTTACCTGAAGCATTTTAAACATACATATTGTTATCAATACTGCTCAGGTGAAGCAGTCTACTGCTGGTTATTTTTAATGCTCTAAATAAAATCATAATAGAATTGATCACTTGCAAAAATATTGGATAACATCTTTATAATTTCAGTTGTAATAGAGAAAGAAAAAGCACCTTTAACATTGACAACATTTGTACCTAAAAAATTATTTTTTAGAAACATATTGAATAATGCATATTTTAACATCATACACAAGAGAAACGTCTGTAGTCTATAAATATCTGATCCTTTCAATAATTTAAAATAAGTTTCTAAGAAGGACCATCATCAAAGCTCTTCTTTCATAGTTGAATCTTTTGTTTCGTTTGATATTTCATCCTCCTTTCCTTTTTGTTCTTCATTATCTTTATCATCTTTATCATCATCATCATCGTCATCATCAGCCTCATCACTTTCTTGAATATAAGCAGAAGCTTCATTTGCTGGCATTGGTACTTCTAAATCTTCCTCAGTACACATCTCTGATAAAGACAATGAGAAACATTCAACAAGAGCATGAGAAAAGCTATGGTCTTCCAAAATAAGTATTCTATTAACATAAAAAAGCATTAAATGTGCTACATTTTTGTTATAGGACAGATAAAAAAATACTTCCCAATAACTTCAATAAATGTATCTAAATAGTGTTTTTTCCCATACATAATTCTTTGCCCCTAAACTTTGTCAATTATGTATAAATAGGTTATTGTGTTGTTTCTATTGGTCTGTCTGACTCTGTCACACACATTTATTTCCTCTCTCAAGTCATTTAGTTAAAATTTTCCCAGGTATTTTAAGAACAGACATCCCAAACTTAAGAAATATGAAACTGTTCATTGAAGTATTTTAAATGCTTCACTCAACCATATTCCACTAGACCCCTTTCATTTTATTTCTTGTAAAACAAATAGCCAAACCATATCTCTTTAATAACATATATATATATGTTTTCTGTGTGCACAACACATTTTTCCTGAATTCCCTTCATTGGGCAAGCTGGAGTATAAAGTAAATGCTAGCTTTAGTAAGATTTCTACACAATTAAATTTCCTGTTACCAAAATAAATATAAAGTCAAATGCTGTCTCTGAATAATACTATAAATATAACTTTAATTCAGTGTAAATTAGTACCCTGTTAAAAGTGTTTTATTCTACCACAAAACAGGCAGTTTTCTTTTAAAGAAATCAAACATAAGAAATAATGAAGACATATGAAAAATTTCTATAAAAAATATTCATTATATCATTCATATCAATTTCCAATTCTTTGTTTTCAAATATTGAAAAATAGAATGTGGTGATTATTTTAACAATGAATTTAATTGCCATTACCATCTTGATTGATCAGACATACCTATTTGAGACCAACACATATCTTCAATAATTTAAGTTTGGTAAATGACCAATACTGTTGAAGAAATTACTATATAGATAAGTTTCTTTTACTTTCTACTAACCTGATATATCTCTGCAAATTTGTTTTTCTGCAATGTCTAAACTAGTATCTGGTTTGCCTAGCACTTTGATCATATCTTCCTCATATTCTTCTACTAAAGTTTCACACTGAAAATAAAGATATTTGGTGAGAATTTGAAAATTTATATCATATCTATCTATACTTTTACTGTAAACTTTTATACTATTATTGTAAACTTTGGACTACCCTCCCCAGGATACAGTAATAACATGCTGATGTGAATTCTAAAAAAAACAAAAACAAAACAAGACAGCCAATTTTATCAAAATTCAATGTCTTAAACATCAAAGGAATCAGTTTTGTTTAAGATACATGTTTGGAGATGTCTCAGTTATTAAAGTATGTAGATTTGTAAAGATATGTAAAGATATGAATAAAAGGAGATGGGAGAAATGTCTAGAAGCCACAAAATACAAGTAATCCAAAACAGACACCTGAAGGTCAGCATGCAGTCCTCAACCATCACATGCACTAGTGCCCATATAGTGTGAGAAAAGTTTTATTGACCTTAAGTTGCAACAAGTTGAAAGTCAAATCAGCAGAGATTACTGGTAGAGCATATGAGGTATTCCTTCTTCACTGGTACCAATTTAAATGGTTTTACCAAAACCTATTTCAAACTGGCACCTGTGGTAAAAGTCTTACAAATTATCAACACAAGCATAATAAAATGCTCCGCAGGGCGCAGCTTGATACGACCGCAGAGGTCGAACCCTGAACAGTTGGGGCAAGTATGGACACAACATTCAAGCTTGATACAGCTTTGCATTTGGATTGTGATTAAATATTTGACACAGCATAGGTTTCTGACACAGAATGAATGTGGTCTAAGAACTTACAAATTTTAAATTGGACATTCACCTATTATGGTCCAATATCCAAAATCTAAATACATGGTTAGATTCAGCATATCAAAGAACCCCAAGAATTCAATTTTTGATGAAATCAAACAAAGTTTAATTTTGGACACTTTTGACCTCAATGTGGTCAAAGTTGATAACGGGGCCCAAAAATCAAAAATCTAAATACATGGTTAGATTCAGCATATCAAAGAACCCCATATATTCAATTTTTGTTGAAATCAAACAAAAGTTTAATTTTGGACCCCGATTTGGACCAACTTGAAAACTGGGCCCATAATAAATCAAAGCACGAAAGCGCTGTAAAGGCAGTTAATTACAGGTTGTGTGTATTTTAAGTCCAGTTATATCATTATCTTGCATAGTACAGGTGGCTTTCAGTATTTAAGATTTAGAGTTCTCTAATGATATTGAATAAGTTTTATGAATGTCATATTCTGAGCACTATATGAAGGCGATTGTTCTCACTTGTTTATGAACTAGTGCATTATGTCCAGTTTGTACCTTTTTTATCTATGTTTATAGTCAAATTAGTTATCAAAGGTACCAGGATTATAATTTAATACGCCAGACGTGTGTTTTGTCTACATAAAACTCATCAGTGACGTTCAGATCAAAATAGTAACAAAGCCAAACAAGTACAAAGTTGAAGAGCATTGAGGACCCAAAATTACAAAAAGTTGTGCCAAATACGGCTAAGGTAATCTATTCCTTGGATAAGAAAATCCTTAGTTTTTTCATTGGCAATCATAACACATCTCCTTATTTATATAATGATCTATATTCAACGACCTCAGGTACAAAAAAAATGTATGTAACTAAACTATGATGGGAAACCTTTGACTTCTTTCTTTATATAAACTTTTGATTTGGTACCATAGAACTATGTAGAGTAAATGTACATTGCAACGTGTCAACTCTTTCAACTCCAAGCAAAATTATATTTCCAAGCATAAAGTAATTTATGAATGAAATAAAATGCTCCGCTGGGGCGCAGCTTGATACGACCGCAGAGGTCGAACCCTGAACAGTTGGGGCAAGTATGAACACAACATTCAAGCTTGATTCAGCACTGAATTTGGATTGTAATTAAATATTTGACACAGCATAGGTTTCTGACACAGAATGAAAGTGGTCTAAGATACTTAAAAAAATTTAATTTACCTATTCAAACCATATCATTATTATTTGCTTTTATATATAAATCAGAAATAACCAATTTAAAATGGAAAATTTTAAAGAAAAAAAAATCCCCCCCCCAAATTTTTTGAACCCCCTTATGATTCATCACCCCAAAACTCAATCCCAGCCTTCCCTTTGTGGTATGGTACCTTGCAGTACAATTTCAGAGAGATCCATACACTTGAACACAAGTTATTGTCTGGAAACTAGAAAAATGCTTGTTTTTTGGCCCCTTTTTGGTCCCAAATTCCTAAACGTTTAGGGCAATTACCCCCCAACTCAAACCCAGCTTTCCCTTTGTGATATGGAACCTTGTAGTACAATTTGATAAAGATCCATACACTTACACACAAGTTATTGCCATGAAACTAGAAAAATGCTTGTTTTTTGCCCCTTTTTGGCCCCTAATTCCTAAAATTTGGAGGCAATTACCCCCAAAATCAATCCCAGCATTCCCTTTGTGATATGGAACCATGTGATACAATGTCAGAGAGATCCATAGACTTACACACAAGTTATTGTCATGAAACTAGAAAAATGCTTGTTTTTTGCCCCTTTTTGGCCCCTAATTCCTAAAATTTGGAGGCAATTACCCCCATCATCAATCTCAGCATTCCCTTTGTGGTATGGTACCTTGCAGTACAATTTCAGAGAGATCCATACACTTGAACACAAGTTATTGTCTGGAAACTAGAAAAATGCTTATTTTTGGCCCCTTATTCCTAAACTTTTTGGGCAATTACCCCCAAACTCAATTCCAGCTTTCCCTTTGTGATATGGAACCTTGTAGTACAATTTCATAAAGATCCATACACTTACACACAAGTTATTGCCATGAAACTAGAAAAATGCTTGTTTTGTGCCCCTTTTTGGCCCCTAATTCCTAAAATTTGGAGGCAATTACCCCCAAATTCAATCCCAGCATTCCCTTTGTGATATGGAACCTTGTGATACAATGTCAGAGAGATCCATAGACTTGCACACAAGTTATTGTCATGAAACTAGAAAAATGCTTGTTTTTTGCCCCTTTTTGGCCCCTAATTCCTAAAATTTGGAGGCAATTACCCCCAAAAATCAATCCCAGCATTCCCTTTGTGATATGGAACCTTGTGGTACAATGTCAGAGAGATCCATACACTTACACACAAGTTATGTCTGGAAGTTACAAAAATGCTTATTTTTGGCCCCTAATTCCTAAACTGTTGGTACCATAACCCCCAAAATCAATCCCCACTTTCCTTTTGTGGCATTGAACCTTATTTTAAAATTTCATTGAGATCCATTCACTTAAACTAAAGTTAGAGTGCGAAAACTAATGTGTCTTCGGACGACGACGACGACGACGACGCCAACGTCATACGACCACAAAAATGTTTTTGCGGTCGTATAAAAAGGAGTTCTTAATTAAGAAATAAACTGATTCGCTGAGCAGAGCTGGATACACCCGCAGAGGTACTACCCTGAACAGCTGGGGCAAAAATGGACACAATATTCAAGCTTGATACAGGTCTGAATTTGGATTGTAATTAAATATTTGACATATTATAGTTTCTGAATAAATGTAGTCAATGAACTTGAAATCGGTTATATGAATTGAATTTATATTCAATTAAAGATTTCTTGCTGTTGTGCAATACACTGTGCTGTTGTGCAATACTTAATAAATCTGTTGCCAGACTATAAACAAATAAAGTTCAATTTCTTCTCAATGTCATATTTGAAATTGATGAAAATCAATAGGGAGATTACATCAATAGCTATAAATAATTCACCACGGTTTCATGTGAACTGCTTAAAGCATTTTTGAGTTGTTGTCCAAAGACTGGAAAATCCCCCCTTTTTTAATGAATAAAACCCCATAACTCAGAAATGTAAAATCTAAAATTTATAAAATTCTAAAGGGAGCTTACGGATTGATTATTTAGTCTTAGATGCAAGATTTTTTTATCAGTTGTTAGTGGCTTTGAACTAGCTGTCAGTAACTGCGAGTACTCTCAGATTTGTACTTAGTGTCTTTTTGTTGTTTGGATGTACAACTACCCGACCACGTCCACTTGTATTTGTATTTATCCATCTGATGAGTTTAGCCTCTTTCAACTGATTTTTATAGTTCTTTCTTATATTGTACTGTTACACCACTGTCCCAGGTTAGGGGAGGGTTGGGATCCCGCTAACATGTTTAAGCCCGCCACATTCTGTTTGTACATGTATGTGCCTGTCCCAAGTCAGGAGCCTATAAAAGTGTAATTCAGAGGTTGTCGTTTGTTTATGTGTTGCATATTTGTTATATTTGTTCATTTTTTTACATAAAATAGGCCGTTAGTTTTCTTGTTTGAATTGTTTTACATTGTCATTTCTGGGCCTTTTATAGCTGACTGTGCGGTATGGGCTTTGCTCATTGTTGAAGGCCGTACTGTGACCTATAGCTGTTAATTTCTGTGTCATTTGGTCTCTTGTGCATGTGTGGAGAGTTGTCTCATTGGCAATCATACCACATCTTATTTTTATATTTACATCAACAGATATAAAAAATTCACCAAAGTCAAGGTGAGACAACAAAACTTAGTTGTAAGATCTCTGAAATTTTTTACAGGGTACGAGTTTTTCTCATTGTTGGAGATTGTACGGTGACAGTAACACCTGTAACTGCTTAAACCCATTTCTTATGCACTTTAGTTTGATAAACTCACTGAATATCATACCACATCTCCTTATTTTTATATGCATTACAATTTACATGTGCATGTAATTGTAAATATATATATATCAGAACAAAATTCATTGCGTCACTTTTATTTATGCATCCTTTGGCACAATACAAGTTCTAAAATTACACAACATAAAACAACTAAATGTTATTTCAGATGAAAGTTTTGTTTCAGTTCCATTCATAGGATTTATTAGAATTTTGTATGTTTTGCCAAGTCCAATAATTCGCTCTATGTGACATAGAGACATAGTTGACTAAACCACCAGGTGTCGAACATTCAAGAATTTTCAGTGTTTCTGTTTTTATTTGATGAAAAGGTTGCCTGAGCTCTAGGAGCTTTAGGTTTTATCACGGGATATTCTGTGCTGTCAATAATAATCCAAGTCGTAGGAAACTTTAATTTGAAGTTGGATGGTGAAAAATACCTGACTAAACCACTAGATGGCCAAGTGTTAGCCTCACACCACTGTTTAGACATAAAAACAATCCATGTATACACAATATTCTTAACACTAGATTCAATCTAGAATCTAGACAGTTCAAAGTTGGTTGTATGATGCCTCAATTTCATCAAAGTCATAAAAAAACTGATTTTCAACTGACACCCTATCAATTTGAAAATATATGTATCTCAAACAATGTGCTGCTGGACCAAGTGTGGTCAAAACAAATAAAAATTTAGTATACAACTCTAAACCGGTATAAAAATGCATGGCTGTGTCACGTGTCTTCATTTCAAAATTCTCTGCTGAAAACATAGGCATTGATGGTGTTTGCGTAATTCCATCTGTGAAGCTCAACATTAGCTCGGCAGTTGGTGGTGGACAGTCATAAATCCTTTCTGCAGTATGAATGACTTCTTCAGGAAAACCAACTTTACAATCAAAACTTTCCTCTAGATTTCTACTACAATATTCATCAAGTTTAGTTCTTTTGTTTTCACAGGAAACTGCCCTGATTTTTCTTTTTGTGGACGATTCAGTCTCTTGCTTGGTCCAGGAAAATAGGCTGGGAATTGCAGTAGACTTAAGTCTCTGTATGGTGGGTTTGCGCCCTGAAAAAGGTTATAAAACATTAGTTTTTTTTATAATTAAATGAAATTCCATTAGCAATGTATACTTTGTACTACCTGGCGAAATATTAACTAGATTTATTCATTACAATCTGGATAAAACTATGTTTGCCTGATTCAATGTATGTTATGTCAATCCAAAGGACAAACAATGAGAGACTTATGCAACAAACGTACATTGTTTGTACCTAAATAACTATAATATAGATGAGAGCATGTCATTATTTTGTTCCTATTAACATTGTCATTGATATTTTTCAAGAAAGTCTATGAGGCATAGCTTATGCATTCCTGTCATTACTACATTAGCATAATTACTGCTAAAATAATTCTCAGTATGATATACCTCTTGTAAGAAATCATTATAATTGTAGCAATCACCAAAAAATCTCAAACAGATCACATTGAATCGTAATCCAAAAAATTATGACGTCTTGAATTACCCACCCCCTTTTATTCTAAAACGATAATTGCGGTTGTAAACAGACTTTGGTTTATTCGCATGGCGATTACATATATAACTATATATTTCACAAGGAAAATAGAGTTTTACCATGAATAGTTTCCTGCACGTAGTCTTTTTCAGTAAAACGTGCCTTGCAAACAACAGCTGATTGAGATGGACTCCACGATATCATCGTGTTCTCGTCCAATCTGCGTATGGGCCATGGCGTTGATCCAACTTTTCCTTCTTTTTAAGGCATTTGGAAATGCATGTCCTCCTCTTAAATGACATCCAGGTACACAACAACAAGTACTTGGCATCGTTAATTAAAAATATAACTGAAATAGTTGCACAGTGCAGAAACCGGAAGTAGAGGAACAGGATCCGCTACCACGGCGCCACCTATTCAGGAACGATAATTTGCTACTTTATATAACTGCGAAAATAACGTTAGACGGGTTCACGTGCATAAACAGAAATGCGCTTTAAATTGTATAATATAATTCATGTTCAGTCGACCTTTAATTATTATATCAACGACTGAAATGATTTATAAACATCTAGATTGCAGATAACACTCGAAATTAACCAGAGCTCTTTCCACACGGAATTCAAATAATTCTTGTTTGTCAATCGGTTGACTGCTTATAATGCAAAATACTAATATATCAAAAGTTTTTAAAACTAACAAAACACAATGATCGTTTCTCTATTTCCCAATGTAAATGAAATGAAACAAAAAACATTTTATATCGCAATAAGAAGAGGAGAGAATTCAACATTTCCGGATCTACTTGGAGTCTAATGACCCCCCACGTAGATAAGTTGGATATCGCGGAAGGAAGGATTAACCCCGCAACTAGAAAGGCATTAAAGCACTGCCTTTAAAAATCTAAATACATGTTTAGATTCAGCATATCAAAGAACCCTAAGAATTCAATTTTTGTTAAAATCAAACTAAGTTTAACTTTGGACCCTTTGGACCTTAATGTAGACCAATTTGAAAACAGAACCAAAAATTAAGAATCTAAATACACGGTTAGAATCGGCATATCAAAGAACCCCAATAATTCAATTTTTGATGAAATCAAACAAAGTTTAATTTTGGACCCTTTGGACCTCAATGTGGACCAATTTAAAAACGGGGCCCAAAATCCAAAAACTAAATACACGGTTAGATTCAGCATATTAAAGAACCCCAAGAATTCAAGAATAAAACCCCATTGAAATTGGTCAAGAAATAAGCAATTTATATGAAGTATCTTCTTTTGCACAATACTGTGCAATTAAATATTTCTTGCTATTGCGCAATACTGTACAATTGACAATTTCTTGCTATTGCGCAATATTGTGCTATTGGATATTTCTTGCTATTGCGCAATACTGTGCAATTGAAGATTTCTTGCTATTGCGCAATACTGTGCAATTGAAGATTTCTTGCTATTGTGCAATACTGTGCAATTGAAAATTTCTTGCTATTACACAATACTTATTATATAATGATTTACACATCCTGTTTGGTGTGTATCTCCTACCATATCATTATTATTTGCTTTTAAATATAAATCAGAAATAACCAACTTAAAATGGAAAAATAAAAATCTCCCCCCCCAAAAATTTTTTGAACCCCCTTATGATTCATCACCCCCAAACTCAATCCCAGCCTTCCCTTTGTGGTATGGTACCTTGCAGTACAATTTCAGAGAGATCCATACACTTGAACACAAGTTATTGTCTGGAAACTAGAAAAATGTGTTTTTTGGCCCCTTTTTGGCCCCAAATTCCTAAACGTTTAGGGCAATTACCCCCAAACTCAAACCCAGCTTCCCCTTTGTGATATGGAACCTTGTAGTACAATTTCAGAAAGATCCATACACTTACACACAAGTTATTGTCCTGAAACTAGAAAAATGCTTGTTTTTTGCCCCTTTTTGGCCCCTAATTCCTAAAATATTGAGGCAATTACCCCCATCATCAATCCCAGCCTTCCCTTTGTGGTATGGTACCTTGCAGTACAATTTCAGAGAGATACATACACTTGAACACAAGTTATTGTCTGGAAACTTAAAAAATGCTTATTTTTGGCCCCTTTTTGGCCCCCAATTCCTAAACGTTTCGGCAATTACCCCCAAACCCAATTCCAGCTTTCCCTTTGTGATATGGAACCTTGTAGTACAATTTCAGAAAGATCCATACACTTACACACAAGTTATTGTCATGAAACTAGAAAAATGCTTGTTTTTTGCCCCTTTTTTGGCCCCTAATTCCTAAAATTTTGAGGCAATTACCCCCAAAATCAATCCCAGCATTCCTTTTGTGATATGGAACCTTGTGGTACAAAATCAGAGAGATCCATACACTAACGCACTAGTTATGTCTGGAAGTTACAAAAATGCTTATTTTTGGCCCCTTTTTGGCCCCTAATTCCTTTACTGTTGGTACCATAACCCCCAAAATCAATCCCAACCTTTCTTTTGTGATATTGAACCTTGTGGTTAAATTTCATAGAGATCCATTCACTTAAACTAAAGTTAGAGTGCGAAAACCAATGTGTCTTCGGACGACGCAGGACGACGACGACAACGACGACGTCATACCAATATACGACCACAAAATTTTTTTGGCGGTCGTATAATAAAAATCTCTGTTCCAGCAAATGTTATCAAAAAATGCTAATGTACATGTGTAAGAATTTCAATAAAATATGCAGGGCTTTGAGAAAAAAACAACTTCTTTTGATTGGCCTTTCATTACTAATCTTATATACTTACAGAATATTTCATTTGTTTAGTAGCATCACTACTTATAGTAACATCTTTCAATGCTATACCCTTGCCATCTCTGGATGCTGTCGGTACTACACTTTTCCCTCCTTTGGAGTTCTTTGTTAATGCATATTGATTAAATTTTTCACAGATTGATTCAAAAAGCTCTGTTAAATGTATTTCTGATCTGGCATAAGGTTTCTACAAAAGGAAAATAATATAAACATGCTGTTTGCTTTGAGCTGAAGGAAAAGAATAGCTGCTTTTGAAAAAAATTAGTCTTAAAATTTGTAAATGCTTCATTCAAATGTAAATTTTAAATGTATTTCAACATTGGTAATTAAATATTCTAAAATACCTTTATGGCATGAATTAGTAAAGATAGCCTTCACTTCTGAATTCAATATAAAAGCCTAAAGAGGATCTGGAATTCCATAAAATAATAATCACTATTTCAGTTCATAGGAACATACAAAGCTATCAAACTGTGATGTTTCCATATGGTGGATTAAAGTTCATATATATAATAAATGTCCAGAAAGCAATCTTTCAATAGTCAAGGGTAATACTTATACAAGTGTTTTTTATTTACTGGTACAGGTAAATTATTTTGGAGGTAGAATTATATCCATTAGACATGAGGATTTTTTTTTTTATTTCTATATGTAAAAAAGTCTTATTTTCTTATACTCTTGAATTTCTCTTGACTACATTGCTCTAATAGTGTGTTTAGTTGTCTGTCATTAATAGTTGTCTTTACTATCCATAAAAGTATAATTTCATGGACAATGAAAATCTCATGTGTCTGTTATCTTCAAAATACTGCTCATTTACAAGCTTCCAGGGAGCAATTTTTGAAGGCCTTGCACAGTTACTTAACAACTTTGCCCAATGGATTTCTTTGCTTAGTTCTTGAGATAAAAGGTTGAACTCTAATCATAAATTAATGAGCAAACCGGAAAAATTCTGTTTTTGACCTCCTAAAATTTGAGAATTTAAGGGGGTGTAAAAAAAAATTACTTGTATAAGTAAATTTTTGGAGAAGATTAATGGGAGATAATTCAAACCTTGAAAATAAAATAAAAATCTTACAAATTTACTTATACAAGTAAATATTACTTATATCTTCAAGTAAATAAAAATGACTTGTATAAGTATTACCCAAGACTGTTCAACCATATTCAGAACTACGAAAAACTTTCATGCAACCAAGAAGTCTTTCCTTATAAATGTTGTCTTCTTGTAAAATTAGTGGAATGCTAAAAAAAAAATTCTTAATGTCTCTGATTTGACAAGAACAGACATTGAAATTACTACCACTCAAATTTAAAGCAAACCTGCTAACCAGTACAGGTACTTTATCATATGGGAACATCCAATACACAATAAAATAAATATTTTCATTGTTTGTCAAAACTTGAATAAATGAATCTTATTTTTCCCTAATTGTACATAATTATATATATCATAGAATAACAACCCTTTTTAAATATTGAAAGTGTTACTTAAATTTTTTTCTGTGCATGCATGCATGAACTTTTCTACAAATTTATCTTACCTTATATGTATTTTGGTCTCCTTTTCCATCAACTCTAAAACTCCCTACTTGTACAGTTTTCTTTGGGTCAACTAGACTAATTCCATAGTTCACTTCATCAACCAAAGCTCTACATACTGATATACAAATAAAGTTAAAAAGGGATTGCTTTTGTCATATTCACATATTGTATTGCTATAAATCAAATTTCTAAAAATTTTAACTTTTAAATAGTTACATTTATTCATTTTAAAATAGATACTCAACCAGTATTATAACCCCATCAGAATGATGTGCTTATCCAAAGACAGAAATTTCATCAGTGGTTGTCCATGATGTTCATATTATAATGTTGATACTTTTTTTTCAGAATTTAGTGTTGATTATAATCTTTGAAAGGTGCTTTGAAAATTATTAAGAACAGTTGTCCATTTTGGAGATACTATTTGAACTGTACATGTATGCCTAACAACAAAATTATTTTCATTTACCTGTGTTTAAAGTAATTGCAAATGGCTGATATTTTTGTTTGAGCATATTGTTTTTCTTAAATTGTTTAACATTTCATAGCGGTATAACATGTTACTTTTATTATTCTTCCCTTAGTTTATTTATTTTGTATCATAGGTCAAATCTATTTGTTCAGTGTATGTTCACTGGTGTTAATATGTCCTTTGATTGAGTTAAGCCATTTCAGTTGATATTTTATAGTGTGTCTTTCTATGTTGTGATGTTACACAATTGTTTCAGGAAAAAAGGTGAAGGTTTGGTACCATTAAAACGTTTAAACCCACTGCAATTGTTTGCACCTGTCCTAAGTCAGGAATCTGATGTTCAGTAGTTGTCGTTTGTTGATGTGGTTCATAAGTGTTTCTGGTTTCTCTTTTTTTATATAGATTAGACCGTTGGTTTTCCCATTTGAATGGTTTTACACTAGTAATTTTTAGGGCCCTTTATAGCTTGCTGTTCGGTGTGAGCCAAGGTTCTGTGTTGAAGACCGTACTTTGACCTATAATGGTTTACTTTTACAAATTTTGACTTGGATGGAGAGTTGTCTCATTTGCACTCATACCACATCTTCTTATATCTATATAGTATGTTTGACTTTTTAAAATTTTAGTACCGTTATGTCTTAAATTGGTATGTACCCACCATCTCCTTTATGCTTATTTCTATTGGTGACAAGATATATAGGTAGATTTACAGAAGTTACTATATGCATATACATACATCTTGACCATAAAATTATCATCTTTAAAAAGGCTTTCAGACTAACCAGCACATTGCAGCTCTTTGTCTTTTTTCCCTTCAGCAAGGTAAAACAGAAATCCAATCAACACAGAAACAACATAGTACACTTCCATAGTCTAACCTTTGTCTGTCAGAATGGAAAAAAAATAGTTACTATAAGCAATCTTTTATTTAATAAGATAGACCATGGAACTAAATGCTGCTAAACTATTTTATCTTATCTAAGAGAACCCAAAATAGTGAAAATAATTAAATATCACTGATAATCAACATACAAATTTGATTACAGACATCCGGCTGGGGTTTAAAAAAACACCCCGAATTGATATATTGATTTATGCAAAAATCCCTACCCATTCAGATATTTCATAGGGAAATCGCAACCCATTTACATTGTACATAGATTTCCAAGCTAGCATGCCATCTAATTTGAAGGTTAACCACATGGAATCCTTCATATTATTTTTTCAGACATCTTAACAGAAAATGAATATATATGACCTATTGATATATAAATTTCTACCGATTGATAAACAACCTCCATGAAACTGCACCCCATTGATATATCTAACATTCCAAAAAAAGTGACCCATACCAGCTCAAGTCTGTGTACAGTCAGGGGACTTACTTAAATGAGTGATTTTCTAAATCACTGATTCAAGTAGCATTATGTCCACAAAGGTTGGAAGTAAAAGTTGTCTTTCTTTAATAATCACCTATTTAAGTAGTACAAATAAATCACTAGACCAAGTGATTTAATTTTATTGTAGCTTTAAATATACAATACTAATGATCCAGGGACTAATTATGTTGCTAAATTTATCAGAACCAACATCTGTATTGATAGGATGACCGGTCATGTCAGGTGATGACCTTGTACTGAATGATGTGAATCTGGGATAATGACATGAAAAATCACTTGTTTAAGTATCATACCTCTATTTTCTTCAAAAAATCACTTTTTTAAGTATTATTATTTTAATAACCCCCACTAATTTCAACACCCCCGAACAGTGAAATTTTGATCGCGAACAGTAAAATTTTGTTACATAATCTATAAGATGAAACCTTGAATTTTACAGGAACAATACTCCCACTGCTTGGAAAAATCTGTTAAGAAAGTATCAGTACATTATGTAAAGCCTTTATTATAGCATTTTTTCAACAAAAATAGAATTTACAGCTAAATGATTGCATCAAAGGCATAAACCTTGCTACTTAAAAGAAGCAAAAGGTTCATTTTTTTTAATTTTACTAATGATAAGATATAATCTAAATCTATGTGTTTAAAATTTTGGTAAAACTAAATTTCGAATTTGCTACTTACAATGGAAGTGATTTTTTGAAGAAAATAGAGGTATGATGATTTTTCTTAGTCTAGTGATTTATTTGTACTACTTAAATAAAGAAAGACAGCACTTAATATTTATATGTAACAAACATCTTGATTTTTTGTGATCATTAGAATCATTCTTTCATATTTGTATATACTTTTTTACAGAATTTTTAAAAGATACTGTTCAAGGACCAGATACCATCACCTGGCATCTAATGCAATAATGGAAGCATTAGTGTCAATATGATATGACACATACTAATTTCATCTTCAGACAAATATATTTACTTCAATTGTAACAAGAGAGGTGATCTAGTGGTCACAAATACTCCCATTCACAGCAACTGAGAGATCATGGTTTTTTTAAGTGGTCCAAAACATTTCATTACAATTCAAATAAATTTCAAAAAATGGGGTTCCATTTATCATCTGACACCACAAAATTTATAGTACCCCTATCATAACTGTAGAAAGTACTGTATTAGTGAGAGCTACGAAATATCAAACTATACCTGTCTTTAGTGGTCCAAAACATTCCATTAAAATTTCAATCAATTTCAAAAAGGGGTACTCTATTTATCATCTGGAAACCAAGATGTTTTGATGTTTTCCAATAATTAAGTATCATAACTCTGGAACAGTATGAGCTGATGAGTGAAAACAATGAAAATCGAACTAAAGCAGCTGTCTTGAGTGGTCCAAAACATTCCATTTAAATTTCAAGTAATTCAAAAGAGCAGTTCTCTATTTATAAACTTGACCAAAACCACGTTAAAATTTGTATAAGCAATAATTTATCCTCTTCTCCTCCATTGTGACATCACTGAATGTGACTTCTTATTGAATTTTTAGATGCAATGAGTAACACACATGAACAGCTTTTGGTTTAGGAACTGCTTATCCTTCCAAAGCACTCTAGTTCTTGGTTTGGTAAGGTTATTGTTGCTCAGTCTTTGTTTTTCTGGACTATTGTTTGCCATTATATCTGTTCATCGTTTTTGTTTCGAAACCACAGTGTTGTATAAACCAATGAACTCATACACATTTTCACAAAATTTTGTAGTGGTCAGTTGTAGATTAATCAGTATGTCAGTGATAGAAGTAATTTTCATGTAATAGTGAAACAATATAAGTTGATTGTTTTTCTTTCTTATTTTCCTGAGGTGGATGATTGGTAATGGAAATTATGAAGAACTGAAACGTTATAAGAAACTTTCTTAGGATTCATCAGCAGGAATTGACAAATATTGTTGTGTTTACACAACACAATTTACTCTTGAGTACAGATATACCTATGCACCCGCAAAAGTTTTAAGGCACTGTAGGAACTAGATAAATAAACTTTAATTTTATCAAAGTCTACAGAAGATGGTAAAACAAACAAACTCCTGCAGTCAATTCATCATAATACATTGTACAGAGTTGAATTAATTGTTGTGCAGATTTGTACATGTATTGTCCCTCTTGTGTCCGAATCAATAAATATAATAAACTACATTCATTACAAAAGAGGAAAGTCTCAAACATTTCCCCAAACTTAGTTTATTTTGGCATCTTCTGTGGGAATGAAAAAAAAGGAAACCTAAATTTCAGGAAAGTATTTTCATTTTTTGCTGAAAAATATGGTATTGCCTTTGAAGTAGTCCAAATAATTATTTCAATTACGTTACAGGCATGACAGGAAGGCACCACTGCAAAAAATTAAAATAGCCTTTCCAGACATCATAATTATTTAGACCACCTTTGAAGGTGCATAGATTTGCAAAATTTTTTTTTACACACAAGATGATTTTAAGTACATGAGCAACCATCTGAATCCGGGTCTATTCGCACACTTTTTATTGGTTTTGTGTTGAATAATTTTTTAATCGTGTTTTAGTTAGAGTACATGTATTGATTGCTATAAATAAAGTTTTTTTTTTATTGTTTCAAATTAAAGTGAAATTCTAAAAATGTAAACAGGTTTCCTACTTCATGCACTTTAACCGTACACAAGTATTCAAATCATGAAATATTTCATTTAAAAAACAGCACTAAAATGTTTAAGAGTAACTAGTACTGCTTTATAAAATTTGAAAAACAGCATTAAAATGTTTAGAGTAACTACTTTATGAAATTTAAAAGAGCACTAAAATATTTAAAAAAAACCACCCTGAAACATCACATTATACAATGTTATACACCATTAACACACCAATCAGTACTAACTTATATAAACAGTTTATTTAAGAATTAATGTATTAAATTCAAATAACAGCCACAATTGTAATCAAAGTTCAAAGTCTACTATGGCGGAAAATCGTGATTGTGAAATTATAAATATTTTGATTAATACATCTAAAAACATCTAATAATCTTTCGATATTTGAATAATCAAAGAGCTGATTGCTCTGAGGTGGAAGAAGATGCATAAAAGGTAACTTGAATTACAATAAAAGCTTCCCCAACCAACCCAGCCTGCTTTGTCCCATTATTGCTTTCGACGTATTTTTTTCTTCCAAAAATGAGGGGGGGGGGGGGTCGGACCTTTAACGGGACTCCGGGATTCGGGTGCTTTTAAGCTTGGGATTTCGGGATTGATCCTTTCAGTATCCGGGAATTCTTTTTTCGAATTTCAGGATGTCGGGATTTAAATTTCTTTAAATTTGGGACCTCGGGATTTCATGTTTTTAAGCCTGGGATTTCGGGATCAGGACCCCTCCGACCCCCCTCCCTCAAAAATAATAATACTCATAACTCAACCAAAACTTACTATACTTAACATAAAAATCTGCAAATACTGTTGATTCAAATTGAATTTTCTATAACTAAATTCCATACATTCGTCTCAGCATGGTCAATTTGATGCAATGCAATTTCGCCAAGCAATTATAACATTGTATAACAGTAATTGATTTGGTTTCACTTGAAAGTTTTCTGTCAAAGGCAGATAGTTCACTTTAAAAAAAACTGGCCACCAAGATTTTAGTCAACTTTGCTTAAACTAGGGTTTTTCATTATAATCATATATTGAAAAATTCTAAATATATCCAATGCAGATATGTGTCAGGCCAAGGATTGACTGGTCATGTCAGGTGATGACCTTGCTGTGTTATTGCAATAATTTAGAGTCAAGAGCACATGTGAATCTTCTGGTGTTTTACACATCAAACGATGCACCGTCAGTTGACAGAATCACGTGTGCGCTTGACTCTTTTAGCATTTCAAACCCGTTCATTTAAAGTGCTTGACCCATATATATATCATATTTGTTTTTCGTCTAATATTTTTACACAAAAGTATGAGGGTAGGAATGGCATTTTCCGTCAGGAGTCACACAGCCCTTTTCTGAAATTTTTCATGAAAATAAAACTATTGACAGCAACGAATTACTGGTTCCGTACTCGAGCCTCGATAATGTGTGTACCTTAGTGACAAATAACAATAAAGAGCTGGACTATTCAGTTGTTAAATCCCGTTTTTTATCACTTCTAAAACTTTGAAACGTATTAAGGCAATCATTGGGGACATTCCGACAATGACTGACATGAAAACTCTGTACTTTCAAATGGAATCCGTCAATAGACAGTAGTTTGTACATTGATATTTCTGTCAACAGATGGTGCATCGTTTGATGTGTAAAACACCAGCTGATTCACGTGTGCGCTTGACTCTTTATTATCGCAATAACATACATAAATATTCTAAAAACTTTCGTTTTAAAAAACACATGTTGTCTAAAACTGGAATATGACTTAATTGATTGCATTAAAGATCTGAACGCAGATGGAACAACTAAATCCGTGTATTTTTTCAAGCATCATTGATTTGAAGTCGTACTCTCCACGTATATACTTGACTTTAACTCAAGATGGATTGTATGAATATATGACAATTCTGTTTATCATTATTTTGAAACTTTCAGATGCATAATTAAATTTCCCATCTGTGCACATGTGCAGATACGTAACCAACGTGGTTCTGAATTTCGAGAATTTATACCATATAAATATCCTATTAAGTTTATTAAACTTTAATACCCATAATATTATTATTTTTTAATAATTGCAAGGACGTATAAAACGTCCTTGATAAAAGCAGTCAATATAATACTTCCACGATAAAAGTAAGGAGAAGGAACCCAGGGTGAATGTACTCTATGGGGATGAACTCAGGGCGAACGGACAAAGGGCGAACATGTAATCAGGGCGAACATGTAATCAGGGCAAACCAACCCGATACCAAATTCATGCATGCATACTACAAACTCTACTTTAAAGACATCCGGTTACAAGTAAATAAATAACGTTCATGTAAGATGAGATGAAATCTAATAATTTACATAAATAAAAGGGTTGATATTAATACATTAAAACATGAGAGATTATAACATTAACGATAGTGATCGTTTTTCAAGCCCAACTAATAAATTAAATGATGCAGATTAGATCATGTGTAAACATCGGAGTCAAGATATGGCATGAAAGTAGTTATGAAATTGTAAAGCACAGAAAGGGATACAGCATATGTCCTGGTGACAGTTCAATGATTTTACAGCCGGCAGTAAAGGTTTTCAGAAGACTTGAAGTCTTCTTCCACCAAAAATAGGGTGCAAATGTGTGTGGTGCGAATGTGTGGGGTGCGAGCGTGTATTGGGAGCGAACTGACCCGATACCCAACCATCTAGTGTCAATAGCACAGATAACAATTTAAATATATGACAATTTCAATTAAAAATATGCTCAGCTTAAAGTGCATTTTTACCTAAAGAATAAGTATAATCAGTTAGGAATGAGAATTCGATATACCTAAAAACTCTGAAAGAAAACAGTTTTTTGAGATGTGGTCATTTCTGATTGGTTATTCTAAAAAGTACGTATTTTCTTATAATTTGAGGATAAAAAACTCTGAATTGTGGTTTAAAAATATGGTATGTATCACTGCTAAGCACACTTTTCCTACTTCGTAATAAGAAAGTTTGCAAATCAACAAAAATTAGAAATTACGCTATCATCAACCAACTGCAGCTGATTTTGTGCTGAAATTAAGGCCGCTCAAGTCATTAGCTAAAAATGTAAATTTGGAATACATAGAATGCATGTTATATTAAAAAACTTTATCTATACTTTCCTGAAAAAGATTTGAATTGAAAAGCAATGATTATTTATTGAAAATCGTCTCATAAGTACACATTGAAAAAAATACATTTGCTTCATCTTAAGCGGTATTTTCAACCAAAATAGAAACAAAGACGGAAACAGATATGATAAAAAGTAACTTACTTTTAAAACATTTATTTTAAAGTCAGTACTCATAAAACATCACAATATTACATGTTTTTTTTAGATTTTAACCGTAATACATACTTAACAAAAATAGTAGATAAACAATTCAAGAGAATATAAGTAGAGCAATTATTCATTAAGCTTAAAATGTACAAATTTTGAACCACTTTTATCTTGAGGAACAAGGATCAGTCTCATAAAGACCTATCTTATGGTGACAGGGCCATATTTATTTTATCTGTTGTTGTTTCCAATGATCTAGAGGGTCTGGAGGGAGTTCACAAAATTAAAAGTCATATTTCCCGATTTTTTTTTTCATATTTCTTTTTGGCCCCTTTCTTTTTCATTGATGGCAATTTGAGAGTTTGTTTGAACTTTTTGTAAAACTCATCGTCATATTTTAATATAAAAATCATAAGATTTTGTAGGATATTTCACCAATTGTCCGACAATAATCAACAAAAACAATAACGTAAAGTCAACTCTGAGATGGTTCAACATGACAAAATGTGAAACAATATGCCAGTTCTGGGATACGGTAGTGAATTGAATCTGTCATGTGACTTCCATTACCATTTGACCAAAATGTAGGCATCGTCACTTCCAACACATGTTGAGCCAACTGGTGAAAAAGTTTGATCTTATACTGCACAAAAAATTTGGGAAATTAAAATGTAATAAGTTCACCACCCTCCGTTCAGTCGTACGGGAATTAAGATTACGTACTTATGGAACATAAATTATTTCTAGACTACCCTGCAGAATGACGATTCTGAAAGTGCTTGAAACTTTAATAGTGCAGGGATACAGGCGCGCCTTCTATCTGGTAAATGACGTCATAAAGGTGTGCGAAATTTTCGATCTTTTCCAGTGAAAGACATGATTCGAGAAATAGCAAATGAGAAAATAACTGCCAGGTTTATAACTAAACAATAAAAGAAAACACAAATATATAAAAAAATAAGGAGGTGTGGTATGATTGCCAATGAGATAACTATCCACCAAAATTCAAATGATGTGGATGTAAGCAATTACCAGATTACAAGCCACTGTATGGCATTCAATAATGAGAAATACCCATACTGTATAGTCTGCTATAAAAGGTCCCAACATGATAAATATGAAACAATTCAATTGAGAAAAATAACGGCATAATTTATAACAAAACAATTTACAAAAAACAAATATGACAGACATGAACAAACAACAACCACTGTACTACAGGCTTCTGACTAGGAACAGGCACATTAAAAATATATGTGGCAGGGTTAAACATGTTTGCTGGCACCAAACCCGCCTTACCTGGGACAGTGGTGTAACAGTACAACATAAGAACAAACTATAAAAATCAGCTGAAAAGGGCTCAACTCATCAGATTGATACAAAGCAGAAAAACATCAAACAAAAACATATATGACAGACATGAACCTAAGAAAAGCACTGAATTACAAGCTCCTGACTTGGGGTAGACACATAAAGAATGTGAAAGGGTTAAACATATGGGACTTGGTGTATTAGATAGCACAACATAAGAACAAACTGAACAAATCAGATGGAAATGGCTTGAATCATCAGATTGGCATGAAGCACAAAAAACTACATAAAGACAAAAACACAAAGTTCCCACCAAAGAGTACTCACAGTTACTGAAAGCTAGTTCAAAGCCAATAACTATGAATCATGTTCTTCCAGACTAAGCATCAATCAGTACACATCCAACATTTAGTTTAAAGATGTCTAGATCTGTTTTATCAAATTAATGAAATACTAAGCAGGAGCAATGTTGAAAAAGAAGAAAAATATACATGAAACATGACAGGAGGTGTTGGTGAGAACCCAAAAAATTAGTTTAACATTGCCACATTCCCATGTGCCTGTCCTATGTCATCATTATTTGTACATTGTATGTCTTAACAAAATGTTTCTGCTTTTTTCTGTTAGATTTAATCACAACATAAAGATTTGGCCTGCTTGAGAGCTTTGCATATTGTTTAGACATCTGTCTATCGTTGAAGGCTGTATGTTGCCCTCTAGCATGTCTAGATGTCTTTTGGTTATTTTTGTCATTGGGTTGCTATACCCCCACATCTCCTTTCTTTATAAATGTTAATTTACATTTTATGTACTGCAACGGGAAGAAATTCCTTGGGAATATGGCAATTTTTTACTGTTCCATTTGATAAACAGATCTGGAATAACTGATGAAAATGATTTTATTATCACTAAAATCTTTAGTTTACTGTAGTTTGATCAGAGTTATCTTTCTTTGCATGATCATGAACATAATTTTTATTCAATATGAGATTCAAAACAGATAAAAAAATGATGTAATTACAAGTTTTGCAGTTTTTCATAAAGAAAGCATATTTTGTCTAATCTGATATCTTAAGTTGACAATTACAACTACTTTTTATTTAGGTATTGTAGGAGGAAATTCTCATTTAATCAAGAACTGAAATCATACATTTCATAAACTAGATAGCTTTCAAAATTTATATTTTTGTAAAGATAACAAAAACCAGAACATTAGCAATTCCTTTGACTAATGACAAGAAAACTTTTGTTTCAAATCTTTCTGTAAACCCAACAACAGTATGAGTCTAGTATGACAGTACATGCATGTACAATTTATTTGAATATCCATTTACTGGGTAACCTTCTATAAGTTAAGACCACAAACTTAGTTTAAAAACCTAGTAAGCAGTGTAAATGAATTAAAGAAGATGGACAGTCCTTGTCTAGAAGAAGACCATAAAATGCATGAATGTCTAGAACAAGTTACAAATGTGAACATTATATGTCAAACTATCAAGACGCTTCTAAATTGTTAACAAATCTTACAAAGATTTTATAGTACAAAGATATAACACAAACATGCTTACTTTGTCAAGGTTGCAGAAGGTTGTATTTTATCATTTGGCATGAAGATGATCTGTCATAGTCTGTAAATAATGCATACTATAAGTTTCTTATGTAAATGTATTTTTCAGAACTTAGTTACAGTGTGTATAGAAGTCTAAGAACAAGGTTTGATATAAGTTCTGCCTACAATGCTGCTGTTACCAAAGTCTTAGATAGAAAATTTTCTTTGGTTTTACCTCAAGAAACAACACCTTTTAGGACAATACCAAGTCATATACAGAAACCAACATATGCTGAAACCGGACATGCAGCTCCAAAGAAAATTGGAGCAGATATTGAAGTCAAGAATGAAAATCAGATAATGGGAATGAGAAAGGCTGGAAGAATGGCAAGACAAATATTAAACCAGACAGCAGTATGTTTAAAGGTGAGGACAGTTGGAATAATTTGTTTAAAATCTATCTGAGATAGCTGATTAATTTTTGGACAAATGAAATATATCATTCACTTCAAACTTGTTTAAAAAAATGGTTTTATGAATTGAAGTGATTGTGAAAAGATTCACTATCTTTTTATCACCTGAATCAGTTGGTTTACATATCTATAAACTCCTTAAAAATAACCTTACTATAATGGATGAACTCTAACATACTTGACAGAAATTAGATCCAAGGTTTTAGTTCATTTTTATACGACCGCAAAAAAATTTTGTGGTCGTATATTGGTATGACGTTGGCGTCGTCGTCGTTGTCGTCGTCGTTGTCGTCCAAAGACACATTGGTTTTCGCACTCTTACTTTAGTTTAAGTGAATGGATCTTTATGAAATTTTACCATAAGGTTCAATACCACAAAAGGAAGGTTGGGATTGATTTTGGGGGTTATGGTACCAACAGTTAAGGAATAAGGGGCCAAAAAGGGGCCAAAAATAAGCATTTTTGTAACTTCCAGACATAACTTGTGTGTTAGTGTATGGATCTCTCTGACATTGTACTACAAGGTTCCATATCACAAAGGGAAAGCTGGAATTGAGTTTGGGGGTAATTGCCCAAAACGTTTAGGAATAAGGGGCCAAAAAGGGGCCAAAATAAGCATTTTTTCTAGTTTCCAGACAATAACTTGTGTTCAAGTGTATGGATCTCTCTGAAATTGTACTGCAAGGTACCACACCACAAAGGGAAGGCTGGGATTGATTTGGGGGGTAATTGCCTCAAAATTTTAGGAATTAGGGGCCAAAAAGGGGAAAAAATCAAGCATTTTTCTAGTTTCAGGACAATAACTTATGTGTAAGTGTATCGATCTTTATGAAATTGTACTACAAGGTTCCATATCACAAAGGGAAAGCTGGGTTTGAGTTTGGGGGTAATTGCCCTAAACATTTAGGAATTTAGGGCCAAAAAGGGGCCAAAAAAACAAGCATTTTTCTAGTTTCCAGACAATAACTTGTGTTCAAGTATATGGATCTCTCTGAAATTGTACTGCAAGGTACCATAACACAAAAGGAAGGCTGGGATTGAGTTTGGGGGTGATGAATCATAAGGGGGTTCAAAAAGTTGGGGGGGGGGGATTTTTTTTTCCTTTTTTTTTCTTTAAAATTTTCCATTTTAAATTGGTTATTTCTGATTTATATATAAAAGCAAATAATAATGAAATGGTTTGAATATGTAAATTAAAAAAATTTAATTTCTTAGACCACATTCATTCTGTGTCAGAAACCTATGCTGTGTCAAATATTTAATCACAATCCAAATTCAGTGCTGTATCAAGCTTGAATGTTGTGTCCATACTTGCCCCAACTGTTCAGGGTTCGACCTCTGCGGTCGTATCAAGCTGCGCCCAGCAGAGCATTTTATTTTAGATGTAAACTTATACACAATCACCTTTCTATTTCTGAAAGTATGATAACGATTGATATTTGTTTTAATGATAAATGCAGATTGGGGTAACAACAGATGAAATAGATTCAATAGTACACCAGCTGTGTATAGAAAATGATGTCTATCCATCACCATTAAATTACAAGCATTTTCCAAAATCTGTGTGTACTTCTATCAACAATGTTGCTTGTCATGGAATACCTGACCTACGACCTCTCAGGGATGGAGATATTATCAATGTTGATATAACAGTAAGTTTGATAAATATATGTCCACATAATAAATAAAATATTAAAAACAAATGTTTATATGACTAAGAATATTAGATAAAGATTAAATGATAAAATTGAGAATGGAAACAGGGAATGTGTCAAAGAGACAACAACCCGACCAAAGAGCGGAATACATCCAAAGACCAGCAATGGGTCTTCAACAGAGCGAGAAAATTCCACACCAAAAGGTGGGTTTAAGCTGGCCCTTAAACAATAATGTATACTAGTTCAGCGATAATGGACGCCACACTAAACTCTGAAACATATAAATGAACCAAAATCTAAAAAAACATACAAGACTAACAAAGGACAGAGGTTCCTGAATTCTGACAGGCGCAAAAATGTGGCGGGTTAAATATGTTTTGTGAGATCTCAACCCTCCCCTTATACCTCTAGCAAATTTTTAATAAACAAACACACATCAAAAATGTAAATACATATAATTTATTTACAGTATTTCATAAAATTAAGTGGAAACATTACAAAGCATTACTGAATGATTTAACACTATTTCAAAGCACATAAAGGAAGCTACATACCATCTGAGAACATGAATAACAGAAAAATTAAAGACCCAAATCCATGAAGAGCACAGTCAATCACTATTACTCACCATTATTTTGTAGAAAAGTGAAGAAGAATATTTTATGACTTTGTTTATTCAACATTCAATGGATTATTGATAGCTGGCTCTTATTACAAGTATTTGAATGTGTACCAAGTGAACAAAATGCAAGTTTTTGTCTTTGTTAGGTACACATACTTTACAATATCAATATAAAAGAAACCGTGCTGTAATTGCTGTTGCTCATTTCAAAGTCAGTGATGCCTTCAATTCAATGCAAATATCAAATATCACTTACATATTGGACAAAACAAATATATGATAAAAATTGAATTAAGATTATCTTGTAAAGCTTACCCAATTGAAAAGAAAATTTGTTAAATGCCTTATCTTTATGATTATAAAGGTTTCTTTTGTAAGCTTTGCATGACTTTCAGGGTTTCTTTTTTTTATTTCAGGTATTTTGTGATGGTTTCCATGGTGATATGTCAGAAACCTATTTGATTGGTAATGTAGATGAGAAAGGGAGAAAACTGGTTCATGCTACAGAACTGGCAAGAGATGCAGCAATATCTGTATGCAAACCTGGGGTGGAATACTGTCAAATTGGTAAAACAATTAGGTTAGTGTAAAACAAAATTGGCTTTTTGTCGTCTTTTTTTGCCATTGTTTATTTCGGTCTCTCTTTGACTTATGAGTTTTAATTCTCCCTTTGATATTTTCCCTTTTTTATACTTTTTTTTCTCTTTTTAATCTTTTATCTTGTGTGCTGGTGATGTTACCACAGGTTTGTGTAAATAGCCTCATCACTATCCCGATTTTTACAATGCCTCTATCACAACAGCACGTGGTAACTAGGACCCAGTGTCCTAGACATAATTGTAGAGGATCCTAGCAAGGGCCGTTGAGATGAAGTGTTTCAGCCCATTGGCATGTAGACATACCCTAGCACTCACACTAGTAAATGAATTTTTGTCTAAAACGGTCATTTTGACCTTAACATCATCTGAAAAGTCTGAACAATAAATTATTAAGTCATGTTCAGTCTTTCAGTCATTTTTCAGACTCATCCACTGTGGTAAATTCAGTATTGTTCAGACAATTTGCTTGCAGTAAATTCAGTACTGTTCAGTAGCTTTTCAGACAATTCAGTTTGATATTGAAAAAAAACAGGAAAATAACAACTACTGAACAGTCTGAACTTAGACTAAAATGACTGAAAATTACTTAATAGTTTATTGTTTAATCTTTTAAACATTGTTCAGATCAAAATGACTGTAACAGATCATAGTTTGTGTACAACCTTGCCTCAGGTATTGATTAATACCAAACTAGAAAAAGGTTGTCAGATTGGGAGGTAATTCATCTGAGAGAAGAAAACTCTGATATAAAATCCAGGTAGACGAAGAAACAGAAACGTGAAACTGGATGTTCACGCCCTATGCCACACATGGCACTGACAGGAGTTGTAAGTTGTAAACTTTTATCTTTCTGAAAGCTGTAATTACACATAGTGATTGTTTTAAATTGTTGAATTAAAGAACCATCTACTGAAAAAGATGCAACATGGTTACATCGCAAAAAGAAATGATTGTATAGAAAAACAATGTCACAACTTTAAAAACAGTGAACAGTGTAGTGTATTATATGAATTGAACAAGTTATATACTTATTAATATAACTTTTTCCATTTATTAATTTTTAGCTCTGTAGCAGAAACTCATGGATTTACAGTAGTTCCAGCATTTATTGGACATGGGATAGGAGAAGATTTTCATTGTCCACCAGATATATTTCACTTTGGTATGTTGCTTTAGTTTCAATCATTTAGTTCAGTGGCTTCTGTTTTTATCTCAGTTTGTTATCTTATTCTTTTGTCATTTTGTCTCACCTTTATTTGATCATTCAAAATACAACACTTATCCTCACAGTAGTATGGTAGTCTCCTTACCTCAAGGAAATAAGCTAGTTGGTTTTATATACAGCCAGGTCAAACCAATGTACCATGTGTTGTTCATTGTTGTTTATCTATGTTCTCTATGTCTGTTTACTGTAAATTTTAAATTATTGCTTGCATTTATTATTGCCATTTTTGAAGAATTGGCAAAACTGCGAGATTAATTATTGCAATTTTAGGAAAAATTGCATACAGATATCTGTATCAGAAATCAGAATGCGAGTTCTTATTATTGCGATACTCACCCAGTCCCATGATTGGCATTAATAAAAACCTCACAATAATTTCTGAATTTACATGATTTGGCGGACTGGGGATGTTGGTTGTTGAGTGATTTATTGTATTCTGTGGTATTTCTGGTTATTTCTGTTATCCCTTTAATTTATTATTTAAAACTTAATATGTCTCTTGTCAGCTTTGAGTCGGCATAGTTTGTAAGGAAAGACTGATACCTTGTGAGTTAGCATGCACAAAATCTGATTCAACCTGTTGGTCTTGTACAAAAATAGGTATAATCCTATCATGTTAAAATGCTAATCAGCTATCATCCTGAATATGCAGGCAGTGTTTGCCACTTAATCATGTTAAGCAACAAGCAGTCGTTGACCTGACTTTTGGTGTTAAGTTTAGTTTTAAATGAGCTGTCTTTGGGACTGGGTATATGTGTCTTGTGACACATCTAGTTCAAAATTTATTTAACATCTGACATTTTGCTGACATATTACATTTAGGAGAGTTTGAAGTGGATACGATGCTCTCAAAACCATTACAAGTGAGATAACATTATTTTTATGGCCCTGAAACAAAGTTGTCTGGCCATATAGTTTTACCCTTATCCTCCATTCCATCCATTCTGTCATTCTGCAACGAACAGTTATACAGACTTTTTCCAAATTGCCTTCACATATTGAGCTAATTTTTAGTATGTGAGTCTACTATGATGAGATACAGGTCGTGTTTACGTTTAGTTCCGCTTTGCTGTTTTTTGCCGAAATTACGACTTTGCACTTTGAAAATTTTATGAAAATAGCAGTTATATGGACTTTTTTCTAAACACCTTCAAATATTGAGCTGATTTTTAGTATGTGAGTCAACTATGATGAGTTACAGATTGAGTTGACGTTTGGTTTAGCTCCATTGATTTTTGCTGAAATTACCTGCTTTGGACATTAAACATTTTGTGAACAGTTGTACAGACTTTCAATCTTAAATTTTCACTTCTAAAAATGGCTCTGAGGGACACATCTAGTTTCTCATAATTTCTTGTGATAACAGTTTTCTGTTATATGATTTCAAGTTTGGTGTGAATCATACATAAAACATTGGCAATTTTGTAATATTAAATTTCCTGTAATAAGAGTACATGTATCACAAAATGTCAAGTCAAAATGTTGCCAGTGTAGCCACCTCACTGAGACAAAGAAAACCTTATTGTGATGAATATTGTTTATTTTAACACATGAATCACCAGAAGTAATGACAGAAGGAGTAACATTTACAATAGGTATGTATTTCTTATTTTAAAAGATATTATAGGGCATTTTTTGTATGCTGCAAACTCATACTTTATGGTAAACATGTTAGCGGGCTTGTGTTTCTTATCATGATTTCCTTGATAGAGGATTGCTGCTCACAAGGAAGCTATTAAACCAAGAGTTCCAAATGGTGAAGCTGAAGTCATCCCTTTGTAATTTTAAGGACGCCATCACAAGTTGGTTGACCATTATGGAATAACCGTTTCACAGATGATATCGGATATGTTCCTTATGTCGTAACTACAATACCCTCCCTTTTCATGAATGTGACTTACCGAATTAGACTATTTACCGGATTTGTAATAACATAAGCAACACGACGGGTGCCACATGTGGAGCAGGATCTGCTTACCCTTCCGGAGCATCTGAGATCACCCCCAGTTTTTGGTGGGGTTCGTGTTGCTTAGTCTTTGGTTTTCTATGTTGTGTCATCTGTACTATTATTTGTCTGTTTGTCTTTTTATTTTTGGCCATGGCGTTGTCAGTTTGTTTTCGATCTATGAGTTTGACTGTCCCTCTGGTATCTTTCGTCCCTCTTTTAGCAGCATGCTACATTTATTTTTTTTTAAATCTTTTTCAGAACCTTGATCAAAGGGAAATTTTTCGTTTGTGATAACATAGTTTTTGTATTTCAGAACTATTTTCATAGAGTGGGGGCTGGGTGTTTGAAGTAGGTCCGAGTATATAAACATAGAAGCATCCTTTAAGCTTAAATCAACTGACTGTTCACATTTTCAAAGGTGACTGAATGAAGGGGACTTGGGAAGGTCTGTTGAGAAATTTGGGATAAAACAAGTATTAAATACCAGTCTTATTATTTACTTCCTCAATTTTTGTAGGACTGTAAATGTGACTTCTGAGTGGCAGATCCAGGTTTTCCAAAAGGGGAGATAGGAGATCACAGGAATTTATTGGATTTTTTGTTTTCTTACAGAAAACACAAATTTTTCTTTAGAATATCATGTACTAAGTGTGGGACTTGCTTGATCTAAAACTTACGCTGTCATAAAACTATATAAACAGCACAGTGTTCAAACCAAATAATTTCATTTATTATTTTTAAAATGACATCAGATATTGAATCAACATTGCTCATGTTGCTTGAAAAAATATATCTTTGTTGAAAGTCTGAGAAGACAAAACGTAGTTAAAGGAATATTTGGGGATTTATTGGAATATTTAGCAATGTGAATTTTTTTTTCAAACAAAACAAAACGAAAAACACACAAATTGAAAGAATGGACCAGATTTATTCAGTAATATTATTGTATGTTTTCTTTCGAATTTCATGTAGTAAAATGCAATCTGACATGAGAGTCTCAGGATGATACAAAGCCAATATTGAAATACCAGAATCATTATCATCATATGTTAATACGTAACAGGTCGTCCTAAACATGCATGAAATATTTGCCACTGGATGTAAAGCAATCAAAAATCAATCAATAATACATAACAGGTGTGTGTTTATTTTGTTATTGTATCCTTTTCAGAGCCTATTTTATCAGAAGGTAATGATGAAGTAGAGATATTATCTGATGGTTGGACAGCTGTGATGTGTGATGGGAGTAGGACAGCTCAGTTTGAACATACAGTATTAGTAACAAAAGATGGAGTTGAAATACTTACTAAATAGAAAACTTGTAATTTTATAATGCATGGCTTTCAATAGATATGAATAAAAGATATTTCAATATGCTTATTTTAAATTTTTGCAAAGAAAATTACCTTTAATAGCTTGCTACAGACCTTCTAAAATTCAAACTGACCACACGCACGATACATGCACGGTGAATGCACGATGAATGCATGATACACGATACACGCACAATGAGCGATGAGCGTTACACGGAGAATTAACGAAAAATGAATGATGAATGATGCATGCACGCAAACGCACGATGCACAATGAATGATGAACACACGATACACGCACGATGAATGATGAATGATACACGCACGGTGAATGATTCATTGACGAATGAACGATAAGCTCTTAATACACGGTTCTCAAAGCCATTTTTTTTGGAATTGCATTTAAAATTGATGTATGATAATGAAAATATATAGGGGTATACACATTTTAGATATCTCGCTTTCTGTGTTGATTGGTCGACAGTTTTACTAAACATTCCATGTTTTAAATAAATTGATTGTAGTATAGTATTTCCAATATCAATGAGTGTTGTCAAATTATAAAACTCATCGATTTTTATAATTCTACTTAATATAAATAAGATAAAAAAATATTTATAAATTGCTACATTTTAAAGAGTGGCGATTCCAGCCATTTTTAAAAAGAGGGTTCTCAACCCTAGATAAAAGGGATGGATTTAACCATATGTCCCCATTCAAATGCATTGATCGTAAAAAAAAACGTCTAAACACTGCTAAGGACTTATAATATGCCACTAAAGACTAGAAAGGAGGTGTTACTAGTACTCTGTTTTCATATTATGGTAGAGATAGATAGATTTTTAATACATAAATTCCAATTTTTATAGAAAAAGAACTACCAATAAATGAGTAGTTGAACAATATTTGGAACCTGCCGGTTTTTCCTTGATATTGCCGACAATCAGTGATCTCGGGGTTTTACCTGGAACACTTTTGGAAAATGCAATTTTTAATTCCAATTTTAAACCAAACGGTAAGAGATATCCCAAGGTTTTTTTAAAATGCATGTCTAATTTGATAGGGAGATTTGAAAAAACGATCTCAATGGTAGTTGAAATTATTCAGTGCAATCATTTTGTGTCCGTCGTTGTCTTTCATACATATCAATTGGTGTATCCACTGTTTGCTGTTCGTTATCTGTTGTTTATTGCAGTCAGGCCTCGCGATCGGTCTCCAAATTTAAGCTTCCACTTAGGTTAATTAATTATCATTTATAGGGGGAGGGGCTATTTTTCTTGGGACGAACATTATTTTCCTTCCTTAAAAACAACTTAACAATTTTCTATATTTTTTCATTTAATCATAAACCGATGAATATTTAATGATTTTTAAAAAATTAAAAAAATATTTTTATGGTAAATGTATCTAAATGTCTGGGTTATTTTCTTATCCAAATAATTAATTTTTCATTTTTTTAAGGTAAAAGTGTTATCAGTTATGTAATTTGACACGTGTCTTATGGTTCAGTAATTTTTCAGAAAAATCAAAGAAAACCGGCACATGCATTGTTCAATTATCATTTATAATTTTTTTATTGATTAAATTTGAATTTATGCATTAAATATCAATCTCTATCTTGATAAGAAATTTGTTTACATGGTATAGCACCCCTTTTAGTCCTTAGTATCATCATAGATATAATAGGCTATTATATCTATGGTATCATATTATAAGTCATTAGTGCACTTAGGAGTTTTTAGCCGTGTTTAGACGCACCCTTTTCTGCTCTTTGGTCGGATTGTTGTCTTTTTGACACATTCTCCATTTCAATCCTCCATTTTATTCAATTAGTTGTGATTCTCTTTATCTCTCTGTTTGATGTTTTTGCAAACAAAAACAATTCGCAGAAATAATCTAAATAAGCAGACATTAAACTCTTATTTCTAAAACTTATAGCATTAAAACCTTATTGCATGAAATTGAATTAGTATGTTAATATAAGTCTTATCACATTTTCGGATGACCTTAATAATAGTTACCTATATAATGATTTTTGACAGAAATTTACATACTTAATAATTGAAGAATTCGTTCTTTTTATCGATACATTTAAAATTGCTTCTGTAAAATGTTATTTTTCGCGACCGTTATTTCTTCTTAAATCAATTTCTTTTAACAAAAATTAATTATTAACAAAGATTTGTTACACAAATGTAGAGCCCAATTTTGTAACGAAGATATTCCTAATCTCTTTATCGAAATCCGCATATCTTTATCTTTTGAAACAAAAAAGTTGAGGATGTCTGTTCAAAGGACAGAAGTGTCCAAGAAACCAAAATGTTAAGTAAATGTCCAATAATTCAAACCCATTTGTCTTTTAAATTTAGCACATGAAGATATGATTTTTATTAGATATACAAATTGATTTTGTAAAAATTAGCTTGTATGTGAACTTTTGTTAAAAAAATCACTGTGGGTCTAAAACTGTATCTCATGCCCATAATTTTCCTGAAGCTAAATGTCATTGTCAGATTATGAGGGTCTGAATGGGGATTCATTATTTCTGTATTCTGTCATTTTAGGCATTTTTTCTATTCTTTATACCTTTTGCCGATCATTCTTTATTCCATATATTCTAGGACCTCATCATTTTCTTTTCTATATATTTGTCTGGTTATTTTCTGTATTCTTTATTTTTTTTGTCAATAATTTTCTGTTCTATTAACTCCCATCAGAGACATATAATACAATGTCTTATATTATATGTCTCTGTTCCCATCCACACCCTCATGTATTTATAATGGAAGACGTTAAACATTTTAGTATACATACCACCAGTTGTCACTTTCACCTGACATACAAATAACATATTTTTATTTCTCACCTGGACACAGGACTAATCTTATATACATATTACGTAATAATAACGGATATAGTAAATTCAGTAGAATAAAACCTGTATCAACGGACTGGCTTGTTGAATGAATTTTGATCTGACAACTGTATCATATTTTTAGTTATTTTAAAATTGAATATGGAAATGGGGAATATGTCAAAGAGACAACAACCCGAAAAGAGCAGATGACAGGCAAAGGCCACCAGTTATATTTGATAATGTTTTAGTTTCGAATAAGGCAAAAACCATTGTATTTTCAGAAAATCTCTAAACGGATAATGAGAGTTTAGCGACCTTGACTGGCTATACAACCCAAGCACGGCCGGTCTCTAAAAGTTGCCAAATTTGAGAGCCTATATCAAGAGATAGGCTTTACCTATCTTAAGGTGTTTCAAAAAATATCCATTTAAGAACCAAATTGTGGCTTCTTTATATTTATACCAAAATTGAGTTCAAGGCAGTATTTTGTGGAAGAGAACAATTACCCAAAGTGCAACATGCGAGAAGATGTTTCATGTCCATTATTTCTTTTTATTGAAGTGACTAATCTTTTGAGGTTAAGTCACGGAAGTATATTTTAAATGAAAAGGTGCAGCTGAATGCATCCCTAAAAACAAATTTAAAAAAATCTATGCATATAAAATGACGGGTATTCTTCAATCAGACAGCAATCATACATAAACACAAGTTAGTTACCATCTAGAATAAGAGGTTTAAGCATACCCCGCGCTGGTATCAACTTTCTGAGTTGTGAGTAAAATTCAATATGTATACACGTAGGACTGTGAACGGGAAATATACGAAAGATTTGTTTTTACGTATGGAGTGTCATTCCCTAAATACATACGGGTCCACAAACTATTCTTATGATTATAAAACGGTAAATGAGGATCTCATTAGAGGAACAAATTAAGTCAAGATACATGTTGAAGCAAGAATAATTTCCACATGCAATAACACTAGTAAATGCTTTATATACTGATATGGAAACAAATATACTGCTCATAATAATTGCACATCTGAAGACTTTAATCTAGATATCCCGCGTTATATAAACCATCGCACACCATCGAACAGCTCATCGCACTTCGGCGAAGACCAGCGCACTTCACCCGTGACCATCAAACTTCATGATCTCCATTGTACCTCCGAGTCATACATATATATATATATATATATATATATAATATACACTTCTTTTTACTTGATTTTAACTGGGAACAGTATATAATAATTGCAAACACGTTTATTCCGATTTTCTGATAGTATTAGTTATCTTGGTGTAATCAGGGGTGTACAGAATTTTACACCGTTGTTGAAAATTCATACACCCTGATTACACCAAGATAACAAATTTATTTCTTATGAACAATTCCTTTACTCATTTTTAAACCAGGATGTAAAATTGAAAATTGGTAAAACAAAATTCCCAGTGTAACATTTTTTCAACGTCGATGTTGCTGCGCATTGTCAAATACTTTTTTCTTTATTTTTGGGAAAATTCAGAAATTTTTTGTGTTCTTTTGAATTTTCGGGGGAAAAAAATTTATAAATATTTTTTTTTTTTTTCAATTTTTGTCCTTAAATTTTTTTTTTTATTATTTTTTTTTTTTTTTTTTTTGACATATTTTTTTTCCTTCTTTATATTGGCAAAATTTTATTTTTAAAATTTTTGGCCAAATTTTATTTATCCCAGGGTGAACAAGGGTGGGGTGTTATTTACACCGGGGTAATTAACCAATCAGATTGCAGTATTTTTGCTGCATAAGAAATAATGTTTTTTATTATTTCAATTCCTAGCTAAAATATGTTGATACTTATATCACGAACAGATATCTATGACAAACATTTCTTAAATTGTCAGTATATGAATTTAGATTTTTTTTAAGAAACGTAGGTTTCAGCTACAGCAGACTAAATTGGCCTTTGATGGATTGAAGGCTTATGTAAAAATAAGAAAATGTGGTATAATTGCTAGTGAGTCAACTATTCAAGAAA